TGGAAAGGCTTTTGAGTGTGCAAATGTGAGATCTGCACAATCCTATCAAAGTCACATGCATGTGTAGAATGAAGCAGTTAAGGGCTTTGGACCTTCTACAGAATATAACTCACAGCTAGAATTTGTGACTTCACATCATCCCAATATCCTGGTAAAGTTACCCCTTTGTCAGCCTCAACCACCAGTCTGATGTGCTCAGGGTATTTAAAGCTGCCCTAACTGGGCAACTGGGGATTCCTAGAGCATGGAGAAATCTCAGCAAGCGTAGAGCCAACACCACCAACCTCCTTCCCTCCCAACATAGGGGCACAATAGGGCTGTGCTGAGGACAGGAGAAAGCATGCACAGAGTATGCTATAGTCTGGAGGTATCCAGCAGGCATAACAACCCTTTTTATAAAGCTACAAACCACAGTAATTCTGAACAGCCCTGAGGTTGTTGTAGAGTATGTTAGAGGTCAAACAGCCTCCAGGATTGAGAGGAGGGCAGAGAGATGGCATAAGTCACCCTTACTGCTCCATCCCACAGATGCCCCAAACCCTTCTACCATGTGTTGGAACGGAAGACAGAGGCCACAGCCCGGAACTGGCTTTTCACTTTGGGTGATCTAGACACATTTGGTAGCATGAAGCGTGAGCAATAGCAGCAGCTGCCAAAGCTCTGTCCAAAGTCTAGAAATCTCCAGAAATCCACTTCCAAATGAGAGGTAATTCTCATATACGACTGTGACTTAAATCTGCATGCATATATGTGTGTGTGTGCATACCACAAGCTGAGCTCTGAATATTGGCCAAAATCATTGTCAACTTGAAATATGTCTGGGGAAAATCTCATTGAGTGAGCTGCAGTGAATGACCTTTCATTACATTTATAGGTTTCCTATGGTTAAGAGCCAGCTGGGGACACTGCCAAGTTCCGGTATGGACTGCTGAATCATCAGCACTATCTCAGAGAAACCAGATCTGGAGTTTTATTTGCACATTCACCTGTGCATGCCCTGAAAGCCAGATACCAAGGTAAGAGGACTGTCTTGGCTGAGACAAGCAAAGGGTGTTTGCCATGAGGAATCATATTTTTTGCAGCTTCTTTTAACTGGAGAGTAGACATTTGGCCTCTCTCCTAACTTTAGTGTCATGGTTTACAGGAGTAGGTCACTAAGGCAAAGATGGGGTGGGGTGTGGGGGAGGAAGCAGTTTGTTTTGTTTTGAAGTTCAAGCAACAAGGGTCTGACAATTCAAAATTTCAATTAAAAGTCCAAGCCAAGAAAACCCTGAAGGCCCCAATCCAAACCTGAAGGCACCAAACCCAAAGAATTGCACTAAATGGTGCCTGACATCTCTTTCCTTGATTCTCTTAGCCCAACTACTAGTGTTTCGGATTAATGGGTTATGCCCACAAAAGTTCATGATACCATCTACATGTTTTATTAGTCTCTAAGGTGCTGCAGGACTATGTTGTTGTTTTTTAAGGTTTTCCAGGCACAGACTAACACAGCGACCCCTCCAAACCTTTTGAAAATGTCAGTGGCTTATAGAGTAGAAGTTTGTTCAGTGTTATCACCACATTGTGCTGAAGACTCTCACTGTAAGCCAGCATTGCTTACGTTGCTTGGCAGTGTGGTAGACTCGGGGAGCTGAGAGGAAGAGTTGGCAAAGATATTAGCCCTCTTAAAGGTGGCCTGTCCCCATCGGACATTACTTGAGTTCAGTTTTGAGTTCTATTAGATGCACAGCTGACTGCAGACCAGGACTTTGCAAACAGAGAGGCATAGCAAAAAAAGGGCTCATGACAAGGCTCCCTTCCCAGGTCTTCCCATCCCAGCACCCTACTGTATGCATCATCCCATAGCAACCCACCAGGTATCCCCAAGTCACCTCTCATTTCTAACCTAGACCCTAACCCCACACTCTTCTGCAGTCAAAGCATTTGGGTATATCATTGCAGAGAGCCACAGCTAGATTTTTGGATTATGGGTGAAATAATCACTGCTTTAGATGATACAGTATCAGAATGTGACCAGAAGTGATACATCACGGTATGACGGGGGACCATACATTCCATTTTTCCTGCAACCCCTTTTTTTAAGCTCTGTCCCAACCACCCTGAGGTTTTTTTCTCCTTCAAAAGGAGGCATTTGTCCCGTTTGCTCTTGCTGACTCAGTTGGCAAGAGCAGAGAGAACAAATGCCCATTTGTGTCAGAAAAGCAGGGTGCAGGTAGAGGGGACAAGCAGAGATGAATGTGGGAAACAGGGCTAGGAAAAACAGTGTTCCAACATCCAGGGACCCCACATGGTTCCACCCACCAGGTAACAACCTCTCACCAGGTGGGGGAGAGGGCAGGGTTCAGCCACAGCACGGAGCGGGGGCTTTAAGTGAATAGCTGGGGGTGTCCTGTTTTCTCATTGGGAGATATGGTCAATCCTGTACTAGGAGCACACTACACCAGCTGTCTGTGATCTGCTGTCTCACCTCCAATGATTGTCTATAGATTTTTGGATTAAATTCAGAGCACTGCTTTTTGATCTAGAGAGCCTGACATGGCCTGGAACTCATCTACCTGAGGAATTATTTTTCTTCCTGTTACTCTGACAGTTTTAATTGGCAAAAGTTCTCAGGTGGAGTTCCCCTGAGTTAATTGAAGTGAAGATTGATGACAGGCTGTTTTTCATATTACTTCAGACTAGGAAAAGAGATAAGTATATATATTTTTAAATAAGTGCTTGTTTCATGGTCAACACTGAACATGAAGGCCCCTTAACACTGGAATTTACTCTCCACACATACAGCAGGAAATACCCTGAATCTATCTGCCTTCAGATTGTAATATGAGGCCTATGAATTTTCTCAAGCACTTGGGAAAGCCATGGGTATTTGTCTGCTTGTATAATTGTTAAGTTAGCTGATTTAATTTTGTTGCAGGGTTGGGCTAATTTGCCTGACTTCTAGAACTGCAGTTTTTATATGGTGTCGTATATTAATTGCTGTGAAGGCTGCCCTAAGGCTGCTGAAACGCGCTTTTTCCTGTTTAAAAAAAAAAAAAATCCCTTCAACAGTTTAGGGTAGGAACAAGACTTGACTGGATTCTTTAACCATTTAAAGAATAATTCTTCCGCGAAAACTACCATTTTTTGATAGTTTTTCAAACACAGATTTAAAAAAAAAAATCCCATGTGATCACTTTGTAAGACTGAAATGAAGAAAGCATTGCTCCATTGCGCGCTGTCAATAAACAACTAGAGAAAAGAGAAGAGAGAAAGGGGCTTAATACCACAAGCCAGTTAGCGTCATATGAAGTGGTATGTTAGAACCCCTAGATGCATGGATGGTGGTTGAGCATAGGGCTGGGGGAAGCAAGACCCAGCCCTGCCCCTTCTGCCCAAAGCCCTGCCCCCCATGAGAGCTAAGTCCGTCTCCAGCCCCCCACAGAAGCCTCCCTGGCCCTAGCATCTCTGGACCCAGAGCAAGGGGAGGGCACACTGCCCCCGCCTGCCCATCCTCAGTGTGGCTGAAGCCCAGGAGCCATCTTGAAGCTGGGGGCAGAATGTGGGCAGGGCCATACCTCCTAGTTTGGGAAGACATTGCCTTCCCCTGCCTCTTATACCCACTAACTAGAAGCCATTCATTCTAATCCTGCTTTATTACACATGGAGACTACGTCTACACTGGCCCCTTTTCCGGAAGGGGCATGTAAATTTCACGAGTCGTCGTAGGGAAATCCGCGGGGGATTTAAATATCCCCCGCGGCATTTAAATAAAAACGTCCGCCGCTTTTTTCCGGCTTTTAAAAAAGCCGGAAAAGAGCATCTAGACTGGCCCCGATCCTCCGGAAAAAGTGCCCTTTTCCGGAGGCTCTTATTCTTACTTTGAAGCTAACTTCATATGACGCTTCTAGTTAGTGGGTATTCCTACTTTGAAGTAAGAATAAGAGCCTCCGGAAAAGGGCACTTTTTCCGGAGGATCGGGGCCAGTCTAGATGCTCTTTTCCGGCTTTTTTAAAAGCCGGAAAAAAGCGGCGGACGTTTTTATTTAAATGCCGCGGGGGATATTTAAATCCCCCGCGGATTTCCCTACGACGACTCGTGAAATTTACGTGCTTCCGGAAAAAAAGGGGCCAGTGTAGACGTAGCACTGGCCCACTTATTCTGGAAAGCCAGCCGCTTTTCCAGAATAACTTGCCAGCTGTCTACACTGGCCACTTGCTTTTCCAAAAAAGCAATGACGATCTATTGTAAAATTGTCAGTGTTTTTCCGGAAAAACTATGCTGCTCCCATTCGGGCAAAAGTCCTTTTCCAGAAAAACTGTTCCGGAAAAGGGCCAGTGTAGACAGCACAGTAGTCTTTTCTGCAAAAAAGCCCTGATCGCGAAAATGATGATCGGGGCTTTTTTCCGGAAAAGCAAGTCTACATTGGCCATGGACGCTTTTCTGGAAAAAGTGCTTTTCCAGAAAAGCATCCTGCCAATGTAGACGCCCTTTTTCCGGAAATACTTATAACGGAAAACTGTTCCGTTTTAAGCATTTCCGGAAAAGGGTGCCAGTGTAGACGTAGCCGGGCTGTGTCTAGACTGGCAAGTTTTTCCGCAAAAGCAGACGCTCTTTTCCACAAATGCTTTTAACGGAAAAACTTTTCCATTAAAAGCATTTGCAGAAAATCATGCCATTCTAGATGTAGCCATGTATTTCTATAGTGCCTAGGAAGCCACATCATAGAGCCCCACTCAACGAGGTGCTGTACAAAGAGAGTAAAAAGACAGTCTCTTTCCCCTGAGGTTTACACTTTATGTAGTTCCAATCTGAAATGCGCTCTTAGGCCTGGTCTAAACAAGAACAACCCACTGGTTTACTAACAGTATTATTTTAAACCAACTTAGTGAAGCAATTGCAAACCCCATGTGTGGACATTTGGGTTGATTTAAGAATGTTTATACAGTTTTAACTGAATCAGCTTAAAAGAAAATCACTCCTCCAATTAAACCAGTGAAACTTTCTCATGTGAACAAGAGGGTCAAGACCTTACTTCTGTGCAAAGGTTGAGCTTAAGAAAAGCACAGTTAAATGACATGGCTGGATACTAAAATGATGGCTGATTTACACATGTTTAAGATAAAGATGTCTTGTATTACCAGGCTCCTTGTTTTCAAGCCTTATTATGTTCATATTTAAGAGAAGGAGAAGTCCTATGGGAAAGTTAAGTGGAAGCAAATCAGCTAGAGCTGCAACAACTCCGAAGAATGAGCAGGCTTGGCTTAAGGAAAAGCCTCACTGTTCTTTGGGTTCTTAAGCCTGCACCAATGTTACTCAAGGAAACGACACCCAATGTTACCCACCATGGTCACTTGAAAGGTCATGAAGGGTGTGTTCTGACATCATCGACTTCAGCAAGCTTGGGGATGTACTGACAAAAGAGCCAGACCCCAGAACTATTGCAAGCAGGTGCACATTGAATGACTCCAGCAGAGTTACATGCACTGTCAGCAGGTTTGAGTCTGCTCTCAAGGCTGCTACAGCCCCTGTGCACAGAGATGGGTGGGATGCCCGGCCAACCACAAGTTCCTCCTGTGCAAGTGGCCTCTCTAGGTGGTGGGGACACTGCAGCAGTCCCTGTGACAGCGCCCTTCTTCCTGTAGGAGTGGTGTGAACAGAGGCATAGGGCATGGCTTCAGGCAATCAGGTCTGACTGGGGCTGAACTGAATGAGGGAGTAGCAAAAGCAGCATAAAAGCCACCTTCCCTTTTGGGGGTCTTGTGCCAAGCACGGCTCAGCCAGGCTTGGGTCGTGGGAGTTTAACATTCAGTTTTCAAGCTACTGCTAATAGTCTACATAGCCCTGTGTCAGTCTGTGTGTGTGTGCGGTGTAGGATCTTAGAGGCAAATCACAGGGCTGAGAGGCTCACTACCTGTGGTCAGTGGACAGGAGCACTGCTGGATTTCAGAGAGTTGCTGACTTAACTACTGAGAGGAGAAAAAAACCACTGCCAAGTTCTTGTAATATTGTTTTGCCATATGAGGAAATGCTGTAGCAATCACTACTGGGTTGGGGGGAGGCAGCCACAAGACAATCTCTGTATAACACATGGTGCACATTACTGAGAAATCTGTGTCTGTGAGATAAACCCTGCGCCAAGCAGGCAGCTAAAACAACAGGCAGGGGCCTACCAAGGAAGGAATTCACTCAGGAAACTCTCTCAGCCACATCCCAAATCCACTTACCCTCCCCATAAAGGAACAAAAAAAACACACTAGTAACATTTTATGCACAGTGAGCAAGAAGAGGGGGATTTTTTAAGGCTGAGTAAACCTTCCTTAAGAAGAGTGACTAAACTGCCTTCCCTTGTAGATGTATCAGAGATCACAGGAGTCTAATCTGGGTCTCATCATCCAGATTTACCCCTTAATATACTAGCACCTCCTTAGATGTTCTGCAGCAAAGAACGGTGAGTTCCCTGTCGGCAGCAGACACTATGCTAGAAATGAGGCAAGATCTAGGAACAGAATAGAAGCAGCTGAGTCAAGGCTTGTGTATGGATCCAATCCAACCCTATGGCCTCCAGGCTGAACGTCCTGTTTTCTCCAGATTTGCCCTGACTCATTCTGCTGCTGCCTTAGTCAGCTCACACCAAGAAACAATAGGAGGCTCAGGCTGGGAGCAAAACAGGATTATCATGAAGACCCAGGCACCTCTATGCTTAAATTGCATGTCAGCAAAAGGAAGGTGAGCAGGGACTAGGACCTCCTCTTCCAGCCTTTAACACAGAGCACTGATTCTCAACCAGGTGTAGGTGTAGCCCTGGGGGCACCCAGAGGTCATCCAGAGGGTACCCACTGATCTAGATCAGTGTTTCTCAGGGGTCACGGGACAGGTTTAGGGTGTCAGAAGTGCAGGACTCACTTTTGGGGTGGCAAGCAGGATGGCCCCATGGAGCTCCAGACAATTAAGTTACATGGTTCAGTCTCACCACGTGGGGCTCGGGCTTCAGATGAGGCTTAGGAGCAAAAAGGCAGCTCAATTATCCCACTGAAATGTTATATTCCAACTGATGTAATTGAAAAGTTATGTGGCAAGAATGAGAAAGTGGGCAATATGTCAGAAATAGCACCCTGTGACACTTCGGTATTTTTAGGTCTGATTTTGTAGCAAGTCATTTTTAAGAGAGGTGAAACTTGGGGCATGTGAGACAAAGCAACCTCCTAAAAGGGGTACAGCAGTCTGGAAAGGTTGAGAGCTAGTGGTGTGGAGGACTGGGGAAGCAGGAAGGATAACTTTAAACAAAGGAATTGTAGGTGGGCATGGGGCAGAGGAAAAAGAAATGTATAAATAAGTCTCCTCCTATGACCCAATACTGAGATGCCAGGGTGAGACCACTCATCCTTCCCCTCCCCCCCCCCAGTGTTTGTTCTTGAGGGGTTTATTAAAACTTTGTCTCCCCTCCCCACCATAGACAATTCACCAGGAACAAGTGAGGCAGCTAGGTTATAGGGCAGAAAGGACCTGGGAGTTTTTACCATCTTATCACAGATGTGGTAGTAAAAAAGTTTCAGAGCCCTATCTACACTCCTACTTCCCCCATTGCTGCTACCGGTGGAGCTTGGGGAAGAACCTTGCATTTCATTTTTGCCACCACAAATATCCCTAAGGGAGACAATTCACCAGGAACAAGTGAGGCAGCTAGGTTATAGGGCAGAAAGGACCTGGGAGTTTTTACCATCTTATCACAGATGTGGTAGTAAAAAAGTTTCAGAGCCCTATCTACACTCCTACTTCCCCCATTGCTGCTACCGGTGGAGCTTGGGGAAGAACCTTGCATTTCATTTTTGCCACCACAAATATCCCTAAGGGCTTCATGTGGGAGGGAGGGAAGTTGTGGTCATGTTAAGCAAAGGGGACAAGTCTAATGTAACCCCTTCCAAAGAGGCCCCGTAATAAAAGGCTCCTTTAAATCCTACTCTAGTTTAAGCCTTGTTTTTGCTTGACTGGGGCTAGCTGGTTGCCGTGGCTGTATAGCTAGCTTAGTGCTTGCCAATGCCTGAGGAGCAGTTTTAGAGGACACAAAACATGTAGCAGCAGCAAACACGCATAGGTGTCACCTGGATCTCTGGCCCTAAGGCATCTGCAGGTGGATCCATTCATTGCTGTAGCCTCTGTTGGAAGCAGATCATGGTATCACAGGGATTAATGGTATTGCTAACAGTTCCTGGTGAACATTTCTTTAGACACAATGGTTGCTCTCTTTCTCTTTAGCTTTCTGTCTTTGGTGGCCCAGCCTTGCAGTCAGGTCACATTTCAGTCCAGGCCTCTTCCCACAAAAGAAGAGACCAACGAACAAACCCAAACAACCAGCAAAACAAATCACTCTCGTGTCCCTCTCAAGCCATCCTGAACTTTCCTGCTTTCCACCCCTGGCATGGCAGCATTCCAGCTCTGATCTTTTGGCTTAGCCCTGCTTCCCAGAGCTTTCCCCAGAAGCTCCTTAGCCCCTTTCTCCATTCCCTTCCCAAGCATTGACTGTTTCTACCAAGGACCTTCCTGCTTCTTACAGCTTTGATCTCAGTCACCCCCCAGAGCCTGACTTCACCAAGCCTTACCCCCAGATACACACCCAGCTCAATCCACTGAGTCATCTTCTCCTGAATGAGTGCTCCTGTAGTGCAGCCTGAGGCTCTCACAGCTGAGGTCACTATGGACAATTAAGCCACCCCCTGCAGTATCAGCTGGGGATAACTACATGGTCTCAGGCAAGGTTGATCCCCACTCCCCTTGAAGGTAGGGTTGCCAGGTACTGGGATTTTGACCAGAGCTCCTCATTGAAAAGGGATCCTAACAGCTCCAGTCTGCCACTAAAAGTCCAATTGGCAGCACAGCGCGGGCCCAGGGCAAAGGCAAGTTCTGCCCCTGCTCTGGATCTGTGTGACTCCCAGAAGTTGTTGCTGGGTCCCTATGGATCCTAAGTGCAGGGAGGCTCTGGACACTTCCCTTTCCCCTGAATGCAGGCTCCATAACTCCCATTGCCTGAGAAATGCAACCAATGGGAGCTGTGGGGGCAGCACTTTGGGCATGAGGACAGTGGAAGGAGCTTTCCTGGCTGCCCTTGCACCTAGAGACCATAGGAATCTGGTGGCCACTTCCTGGGAGCTGCAGTAAGCACCGTGAGGATCCCCGCACTCTCGTCCCTGACCCCATTTCAGAGCTCTCACCCCCAGCCAAAGCTCGCACCCCCTGTAGCCCAGCCCAGAGCCCCTTCCTCCTTCCCAAATACCTCATCCCTGACCCCACCTCATAGCCTTCACCCTTAGCTGGACCCTCATCTCCTCTTGCACCTCCCTGCCCTAGACCAGTGAAAGTGAAGGAGAAATGGGAGAGAGCTAGCAAGAAAGGGATGGGTGATGAAGAAAGAGGGGGGAAAGCCTGGGGGCAGAGCAAGGGTATTCAGTTTTGCGCTATTAGAAAGTTGGCAACACAAAAGACCATCCAGACAGTAACCAAGCCTATAATACTAGCCTCACATGGGCCACCAAAAGAGCTAATGCTGGTCCTTAAGGGAGCTGTAGAGTTTCATCCACAACGGCAATAGTGAATGGATGAGATAAGAAACTTATTCCCTTCATCCTCCTTTGGATAAATTCTCATGGACAGTAAAAATGATGCACCCTTTCTTCTCTGCCTTTGTTCTCTGTACAGGGGAAGCCAGCACAGATAAAGGAGTGCATGCTGGTGGCATTAATGAAGTGACAGGATTCACAGAGATTGGGACAGTGCAAAAATGAACAGGTAAACTTAACTGCAGTGCAGCTCATCTGGTGGTGCACATGACTGCCCCATGAACAGAGAGAATTTCAAGACTAGACTCTATGTCCACACTGGTTAACTTCCTTCAATGAACACCAGAGCCAAAATCACCTCAAACTGTAGGGAAGTTCAGATCTGAAACCCAAGGGAGCTAATAGCTTCTGTAGGCCCCTGGTCAAGATGTGGGAGGGGCCCCGGCTCTGTGCCTCAGAAAGGGCAGAGCCTCAGTTGGAGGGGGTGGGGCCAAGCATAGCCAACCCTCAGCATCACCTTGGCCATGGCATGTCACCCACCTACACACACTCCACAGAGCCCTCAGAGCTCCCTGGCACACACATGCAGCACAGCACGCTGGAGGCAATTTAAAGGGCTGGCCAGCCACTACCACTGCTACAGTAGCAGTGGCAGAAGCCCTGGGCCCCCTTGAATTGGGCCAAAAATCATAGCTGATACCCATTGCTAAAAGATTAATCCAACTGGGTCTAACCTGAAACAGTCTGACTCTGGATAAAAACACTGTGGCCTGTGATGATTTATGGAATAAAGCAATGCAATATTTGGTATGCTAGCACAACAGCAATTCTGGGCATATTATTCCCATATTACACTTCGGCTATGTCTACACTGGCAGCTTCTTGCGCAAGAACATCTGTTCTTGCGCAAAAACTTGCCGGGTGTCTACACTGCACACGTGTTCTTGCACAAGTAAATTTACAGTACAGCGTCAGAAAACAGTGCTTCTTCCGGAAGAGTTATTCCTCTCTCCACGAGGAATGAGCCCTCTTGCGCAAGAGCTCTTCCACAAGAGGGCAGTATAGACGAGCAACATCAATTTCTTGCATAAGAAACCCCTATGGCTAAAATGGCCATCAGAGCTTTCTTGCGCAAGAGAGCGTCCACACTGACATAGACGGTCTTGCATGAAAGCACATCTCTTGCACAAAAGCACATGCCAGTGTAGACACGCTCTTGTGGACGACTTTTTGTGCAAGAACTCTTCCGCAAAACAGTTCGGCTACATCTACACTGGCATGGTTTTCCGAAAATGCTTTTAACGGAAAAGTTTTCCGTTAAAAGCATTTTCGGAAAAGCACGTCTAGATTGGCAGAATGCTTTTCCGCAAAAGCACTTTTTGCCGAAAAGCATCCGTGGCCAATCTAGACGCGGTTTTCCGCAAAAAAGCCCCGATCGGCATTTTCGCGATTGGGGATTTTTTGTAGAACATAGTATTTCCACAAAAGCACTGACAATCTTACATGAGATCGTTAGTGCTTTTGCGGAAATTCAAGCGTCCAGTGTAGACAGCTGGCAAGTTTTTCCGGAAAAGCGACTGCTTTTCCGGAAAAAGAGGCCAGTCTAGACACAGCCTTCTTGCGCAAGAAGCCTCCAGTGTAGACGTAGCCTCATTCTTTTCTCTGTTTTTTCTTACTATATAGGGAACATATTCTCTGGATACCCTCCTACTTACTGCTGTGTTTTTTCCCTGGTGGTAAGTATCCTACAATACGTATCCACTAGTCTGTGGAGACACTCGCATAGCTTCAAACTGCAGACAATCTAAACATCAAAAGATGGAAACTCCTACTGTGTCTAGACTGGTAAATTTTTCCACAAAAGCAGTAGCTTTTGCGGAAAAACTTGCCAGCTGTCTACACTGGCCACTTGAATTTCCACAAGAACACTGACTTCCTACTGTCTGAAATCAGTGCTTCTTGAGGAAATACTGTGCTGCTCCCATTCAGGCAAAAGTCCTTTTGCGCAAAGCTTTTGCGCAAAAGGGCCAATGTAGACAGCTCAGATTTGTTTTGTGAAAAAAAGCCCCGATCGCGAAAATGGCGATTGGGTCTTTTTTGCGGAAAAGCGCGTCTAGATTGTCACGGATGCTTTTCCTCAAAAAGCGCTTTTGCGGAAAAGTGTCTGTGCCAATCTAGACGCTCTTTTCCACAAATGCTTTTAACAGAAAACTGTTCCGTTAAAAGCATTTGCAGAAAATTATGCCAATCTAGACATAGCCCTAATGTACATCTTAGAATAACAAATATTGTTAATGTTATAACTCCTTATTATCACTCATTCTACACCTGCTTGCTTATTGAAATTGTTCTACTTCATTGCACAGGCATTGCTGTGTTGTTGTAGTGATGTACTGACAAGTGCTTGGAATTAGAAGCTGTTTAAAAAGGAAGGAGGTTATTAGGAAAACTACTGGGAGTCCTGGGAGTTTTCTCTTGAAGCCTTGAGCCTCAATCCTTTGCCTATTTGGGCCAGGTCTTCTAGAAGTTTGTTCCATTGTTTTCAAGAGCCTTGGAATAGAAGAGCAGGATCGGACTATATTGTGTGGTTAAATCTTTGGCTACATGCTAAAAGTACCAGTCTCGTTATTTTAAGGAAGCGTACATGATTCTCCATGCGACAGGAAGAAAATATCATTCCTGCCATCCAAATAGGTACCAGTTCAATGGATGAATGTGTTGTCCACAGGCCAGCCGACCAGGGGAGGAGGACAGTGGAGGTGCAAATAGGACAATTGCCCAGGGGTCCTGGTCACTGCTACAGTAGCTCTGCCCACTCTGGGGAAAGCTCCACTTGACTCAAAGGTGCTCTTGACATGCCCTGTGCAGGTTCTGGGGCCCATAAAAAATATCTTTGAATCAAGTGATGCAACTGCAGCTTTCCCTAGCAAGCAGTTTGGGTCGGGGGAAGGGATGGCAGGTGTGGGGTGGCTGCCCTGGGGCTCCTCCTAGCAGGGCTCTTCTGGTGGGGAAGGGAGCAGAAGGGAGAGGGTTTGGGGTGTCTCTGAGCAGGGGAGGGGCAGGAGTCCCATTGGTTTCTGCCCTGGCGCCCTGAATTGGTGTCAGTGGGCCTGGCTGTCAAACTTGTCAGTCTTTAAGACAATTCCATGGTTAATGAAATCTTCGGTCTACCTTTCTTTTTAAAATAAGGAAGTATAAGTTCAATCCCACACATCCAGTTTCTGGTATTTTAAGATAAATACATTTGTAGGAAACTATGAGGTCATTAAGCCACAGCCTCACAGTTTGCAGCTTCATCTTTCTAAGAGCCCAGATAGAAAAGGGAAGCATTTCACTACTGCACTATTTCTAATGGAGGACTGGATTTCTGATTAGCCCTTTGCTGCAGGCCTGTTTGTTTGGTTAACAACATGAAGGGCTACTCACAGACTTATACCATCTCAGAGCCTGTTGAACCAGAAAGGGATAGTCATTGGTTTCACTGTTCTGGAACCTTTCCACAGGTGCCTACTAATACATCTCTGCATGTCTCCTACTAGTTTTTTTTAAAACATTAATAAAACCCATCTTTTGAGCCGAAATTCCCTGACCATCTCTCTTTAAAAGCATTGAAGTTTGTTTGTGAAGTCTCGTTTCTAAAAGGTCACAACTTTTGTAAGCTACATCGTAGTACGTTTTCTACTATATCATGAAGTGGTTAAACAAATTAGCAAAAAATATGTCTAAATAAAATGTATTCTGTAATAAGTTCTTTGATTATTTTTTAAACATTTGTTTGTTTATACACCAATTCTCAACATTTGTTAATACTCCCTGAGTCTCCTAATTGTTCATGAGAGTTAGGAAGTTTCTACTCAGAAAGGAAATGACCTGGGGGAGAAAATTAGTCACAAGCTTACACAGTGAAACACAAAGATGTTCTAGTATTTGAGAATAATTTTCACAGAATTCCAGCTGGTAGTAAATTCCTTCAGTTTACAATGCAGAGACACATTTATGAAAAGCTCTGTATAAGTCATCCACACAAAATATGCTCAGAGATCAACATTTGCTGTGATTTAGGCACTAGTCTGGCACTTGGGATATGTGCTCCACCACATATTACCTATCTGACATTGGGCAAGTGAGTTGGGCTCAGATCCACAACCAAATGTAGGCTCTAAATTTCCACTGATATCAGGAGAGAAAGTAAGCAGTTGTGCCTTGGGCTATGTCTAGACTGCAAGCCTCTTTCGAAAGAGAGCGTCTAGACTGCACGCGGAACTTTCGAAAGAGCAAGCCGCTTTTTCGAAAGAAAGCACCCAGTGAGTATGGATGCTCTCTTTCGAAGAAGCCCTATTTACATTCAAGAACGCCTTCTTTTGAAAGAAGCACTTTCAAAAGAAGGCGTTCTTCCTCGTGAAATGAGGTTTACCGCCGTCGAAAGAAAAGCCGTGTTCTTTCGATTTAATTTCGAAAGAACGCGGCTGTAGTCTAGACGCAGGTGAAGTTTTTTCAGAAAAAGGCTACTTTTCCCGAAAAAAACCCTGAGTCTGGACACAGCCTTGGTGTGCAGCTCTGTCAAAAGCTGGCTGAGCTGCAGCAAAAGTCGGCAGGGAGCTGGTGTCAGCCGACGGTCAGGGCAGTGAGTGGTGTGTGTGTATGCTATACACCCGAGACTTCAACTGCTGAGACCGGGGTCCCTTGCAGCGGGCAACCTGGAGGAGGTTGACGAGCGCCCCAATAAGTTTGCAGGGAGAGCTTATTACACTTCAGATTTTAGCTGCTAGAATCTGTGATTCCTTCGCAGC